TGGGAGTTTTCATCCAACCCTTTTCCCGCTTCTGGACCTTTTCTACTTCACATTAGTTTTAAATTTGCAACGGATATTTTTTTTCTTTTCTGGCAGTGAGTTTTTCCAATGAATAATTATTGGAACATTTTCAGTGACTTTTGAAAAATAAAATAATCTAGGTTTATCAAGTTTTTAAAAAGAATAATAAAATAAAAATCCTACTGGAGTTACTTTAGTTGTCAAAGTATCTGAAAGGCAATAAACTCCTCTCCAGGCCACTTTTGTTGCTTGGATTCCTACATCATAATAATAATAATGCTTTGGTTTTATAAAGTGCTTTTTGGACACTCAAAGACGCTTTATATGTCATTATTCTTTCACTCCATACACAGTGTTGATAAAGCACTACTGTAGCCACAGCTGCCCTGGGGCACACTGGCTGTATTCTCGTTTCAGTCGTCCTCTATCTTTGCCGACAAAACTCTGGCGTCTGAGGGTTATGCACAAAAGGTCGTTCTAAATTTTTTTTTTTTTTTTTAACCAAAATTCAACATCTGGAGAAGGATCCTGGAGTTAAATACAGAGAACACATTTACTAAGCTTGCACCAGAGCAGAGAGACTCAAAGATCACCGTGACACCAACACTGACCGAACAATAACTTGTGTGACATGAATTTGTTTTTCAGAGTTCAACTTTCAAACATAGTTGTAATAAACAGTAACAGCAATAGTTTACCCATTTTTACAGGTCAAATACATCTGGTTGGTTTGACTCTATGAAGGCGACCTTGATATTTCTGTCAAACAATACTGAGCACTAAAAATCTATTTCTAAATCTTTTCTTCATAAATAACATAAATATCTAATAATATATGTTGTTTGTCCCAACAGAAACAATCTTGTAAAAGCAACGTCATGTGTTTTTATGTTCCATCTGTGGTTATCTTTTACCTCAGAGCCACTTGACCCCAGGAGCAGAGCCAGGGCTGGTCCTCGGAGTTTTCACTTTTCCATCTAAAAAAGGAGTTTTAAAGGAGCCATACCTGTTTCTGCAGGTTTGAATGTTTAGCACCGCCCCCAACTCGCTCACAGGCTTCTCATTTCCCTATGCTCTCATCCCACGGAGACGTCTAGTTTTATTTGCGATCTATATGCAAACATTAGCATGAGCACAACTTCCTGTAAGCTGTACAACAAAATAAGCGTAGATAGTCCGAGCATAGATAGTCCGAGGCGGTCCCACAGGTCTCTCCCATAGACAAGTCTCTCCAGAGGATACGGTGTAAGCTAGCTATGTTCACCCGGGCTTGATTTCTTCTTTGATCATGTTTTGGCTTTAGTTCCTCTTCTCTTCCTCACTATTGGGTGGTTTGGGCTGTTTTGCTGTGTCTGCAGTTACAGACAGAGGAGTTATAGCCAATTATGCTAACATGCTACTGTGTTTAGCAGCGCTATAGAGGCTAGAGGACGCTGCCTCGTTCTGTGATTGGAGGAGAGCGGGCGTCACGCTAAAGTCTCTACTCAGCACTTTTTACGGCCTGAATTCATACACAGCTGAATCAATGAGCTCAAGTTTTCAATTAAATTATGGATTTTAATACAACTTGCATGTAGTAATTGGCATTTTTATCAACTTAAAAAAAAGATTTAAAGATGCAACAGAGGCCATTGTTTGAATGTGTGACAGAAACAAACTGTTGTAGAGAAAAACGAACCAGTTGCATGGCTTATTTAACAAAGTTCATTTTGATTGTGATTTCTAATTTAAGTACTTCAGCTTTAATCTCGCAAAAATGTCGTATGAGTGATTTATAAAACTTCTAATCAATTCCTGATTGAAAGCAGAATAAAACCTCGGACACAGATCCTTGAGACCAAACCATATCCATCATTTCATGGAAGGCCTCGGTTTAAACATGTTTCACATAAATGTTAATATTTCACTTCAAAGTTAATAGTTTTCAAGATTGATTTCTAAACAGTAACAGCGTTTTGTAACTTATCACTTCCGTTTATAATCCACACTCACCATTTCAGCACATCTGTTGGATATAATGAAAGTTTTATTGTAAATTATTGAGATGTCACAAACGCTCATTGGACGATGTTAAATTTCTGAACTGAACTGAGCTTTATCATTTATCAAGAGCAAGTGACTCTGACTCTGATCCTTCTTCTGTCTCCGTCTGGGACCAGACTCCAAACACTTCTCTGCAAAACTTGTGTTGCATAAATGTCTTTTTTCAAGGATTTATTTACAAAAATGTGTCACAGTCCTGCAATAGTTTAACCCATTCATCAAACTAACAGATACAGTCACTCACACGCTGTTGGCTTCTTATTTTCCCAAAGCCATTTATCATCTGGGAAAATGGACCCTTTAAAGCAACCATTAAATAAAACATCTGAAATTGTATGAACTTTTCCTAGTCAAAATAATGAAATAATTGCATTTTTATTGTATGGTCCTCACAGTAATACCTAAGACCTGGCAGGGCCTGGTGATATGGTGATGGGAGACCTCTGGGAAGACCATGGCGCCTCATGGGGACACATTTCACCCACAGATTAGCCGCGCTTCAGTCAGTCTACCCCAGGGCAGCTGTGGCTATAGTTCACCTGTGTACTGAGTGAAGCATCTTCGGGTCATGAAAAGCGTTGATATACAACTGTACTTACCCACCCACCCATCCATCTTCTTCCCCTTAATCCATTTCTGGGTCGGGGGGTGGCAGTCAGAGTACCAGAGCACCAGCCCCTCACTGATCCTCTTGCAGGTGCAGAGTCCACAGGAGTCTGCTCTGTCGGTGGGACCATAGCTTTGATGGTTCAGCGGGACTTCAGGCAAAGTGGGGTTAAGAGTCTTGCCCAAGGACACAAGAGCAGACATCAGTGGGAGAAGGTCTGATGTGAGGACTGAGTAAACCTCTGTCACCCTGGTTCACTTGGTCCATATTTCCAGTATGTATTAAAAGAGTTGTCTCGCCCTGACAGATCCATCAATTTTCTTCAATCTCTTCAAAACAGAATTTTGTTGATTTGTAATTGAGATTATGGAACCCACTTTGCAAATGCTTACTTATTTCTCCCAAACAAGTGTAGAAAATTAAAAGTTTGAAGGCATATGGCAACTACTATCCACAGTGGGGTTGTAGTCAAAATAAAGCAGTAGCCCTGAACTAGCATTTCCACTTTTCCTCCCTGAATCTCAGAGTAAACTGCAATACTTTTGGAATCACAGGAAGTTGTACCAATATGAAATATACTGACATTGATCATATAGACCAGGTGTGTCCCAACTTAGGCCTTTTTCTGTGGCTCTTTGACGCTAACAAACCTTTTGGGTGTATTGGATTCTTCTATACCAGACAATATTGTGTTTTGTGATGTTATTACACACAAAACCTTATATTGTCTGGTATAGAAGAACCCAATACTTTTAATTCTACAAAGACGACTAGATGAATCTTCCTTAACTATTGGTCTTAAGTTCTTTCAATGTCATCCAGCCACTTTCGAATCTTACATTCATTTAGACTTTTAAATTCCATATTTGGGGCCAATGTAGCTGTGGAATGAACCTACAGTATATGGACATAGCATACCCCGTTTTGAACCCCAGAACAGCCAGAACCAGGTAGAAATTGTTTTATAATCTTTGTCTTCAGTCCTCCTAAAGCCACCCCCTCACTAAAAAGTTTGGACACCCCATGATACAGACAAAGAGCAGACAGAGGCAGATGCATAATTCTTCTTGAAGCACGTTTATTGAAAGTCTTGAAGTGCAGCTGTCAAGTGTTTTGTGGCTTGAACGTTACAATTACTTCATCCGTGTTATCGCAGAGACATGCACAGAACGTGAGCATACAACTGATACACAAAAAGGAAAAAGAAAAACACCTCCGGAGGTCGTATTTTTTCAGCTATGTTTCATCCAGTATTAATTAACTGTCAAAGGGAAAACAAAAAGGTGCATTACATTGAAGAGAGAAGTGAAAAGGTTGCAGTCGTGAGAGATATGTCTACAGTTTAAATAACCTAGCCGTTTAGATCGACAGTCTTGAAGATGTAGCATTAAAAATAGACACAGACTGAGCTAGACCGTATTCCCGCCCACATCTGCGTGACCTAAATATCATTTGTTCCTCCTCTGCCTCCGCTATATTACAATGTACTTACACTGTACAGAAATATACATTATCCACCTTTCCCCATCACTAATTTCTGTAAAAAGGAAACAAAAAAATATGCAGCGTAAAGCCCCGGTTTTCTCCCGACCCTGATGAAACATATTCAAATGACATGCCGCTTTGATCAGGGTTGAGAAAATCAGCAACGATGAGCTTTGTAGTCGCAGGGCAAATGAGATTTCAAAATACTGAAAATATAGATTCTCGTCATCTCCGTAAGAAACCGCTTTGTTCGTCCCACCAAAGCCCACAAGGTTAAAGTAACATAGTCTGTTTCTCCCAAGTATTCACCCACCAGAAACCGTTGCTTTTCCCATTCCAGATGGGGACAACACACATTCTTCAGCATATGCCAAAAATCAAGGCTTTTTTTCTCATTTCATTTGTAACATCAGCCCTAGAAGAGTTATTTACATCATGGAGCAAGCTGTTAACCCGTTACAATCCTACATCTCTTCTCCCCAGTCACATCCACCCCTCTAAAGCATCCAGGCGCAGGCACAGTGATTTGTAAGTTGTTGCTAATGTTGGTAAGACATTCAAGCTGATATGTCCGTGTGGTTTCATCTTGTCTTGCGAATTGTTTATTTATTATTATTTGGCAAATTGTTTCGGTGTGATATGAGTCTCCTCCTCGCGGGATCCGACCACCCCAGTCGCAAGTACAGCATTCAAGATTGTCACCTCCACCGCTGCCGGCCGCCGGGTTAAATATGTGCAAAAAATCTCGTCTTAAACAGCAAAACAACACACATGCTGTTATAGGCAAGGGGCGGGCTCTGCGTCTCTCGAGCTCGACGTGGAAGTCTGTGGAAGCCGGGTTTGGCTACGCAGACGGGCCGGTGGAGTGCGAGGCGGGCTGCGTGAGGAGGGGCAGGCCCGGGACGGTGGAGGCGGTGGAGGTGGTGGTGGTGGTGGAGGAGGGAGGGGGGGAGCCCGTCTGCACTTGTGCCTGGAACTGGGCCATCTGCTCGGGGCTGGCCAGAGTCTTTAGCAGCGTGTTCTCCTGCTCCAGCTGGGAGTTTCGCTCGATCAGCTCTTTGATCTGCTCCTTCAGCACCTCCACCTCCTCGCGCACGGCGTACATGAGGTGGCTCTTCACCAGGTCCTGGGGGAAATCACACACATGAAGGTGTTAAACTTCATAATAATGCTTTTATTAGTTTTATATGTGCCTCGCCATTTTTTTTTTTCATTCTTTTTGTCTGTGTGCTTTGTGGTGTTGGTGCCCCCTGTTTATGTTCCAATGTAGTTTCATCTGCAATTGGCAATAAATTGATTTTTATTCTGATTCTGATAGACTGGGAGGCGGGTGGAGAGGTGGGACAGATCCGTGCACGAGTTTCAGAATCGCTCTAACCGTAGGGAGAGGTTAGAGTCAAAAGAGACGCTTTTATCAAGTCTAATATTACTCACATTACACAAGACGTTGCAATAACTAGAAACTGTATTATTTAAGTTTAACTATTGGTCTTTTAGGTTCTTTCAGTGTCATTCAGCCACTTTGGAACCAGTGCGTTCATTTATACTGACAATTTAAATTCCATATTTGGTTCAAATGTAGCTGTGGAATGAACCTACATGGACATAGCATACCCCGAACCCCAGAACAGCCAGAATTATGTTATTTAAGTTTGGGAACAACCTTATATGAAGTGGGCCATTGATTATTTACAGTAAAGTGTTTTTTGGTGCCAAAGTTGCTACTCCTGGAGATGGTTCTTTACACCGTCCTGGATTCCCACACTTTTCTTACATATTGTATACTTTTGTTATTGATTATAGTCTCCATCTCTCAAAGCTTCAGAGCTCCACCTTTAATCCGTTTCCCATCCATTTTAGATATTTTGATTTTCTATGCTTGAATCTGGAGTTTTATTGGTGAAGTACAATTATACAAGTCCAACTGTGGCCTTGGGTTGGACACCTGTGATTCAACACTGGTCGACTATCTGCACTGTTAATGGTCGTGTACTTCTATAGTAGATTTTTTGAATGCATGCCTTTATATGCATTTTTTTTATAACTTGGTTGCTCCATAAGCTGAAGTAAATTCCCAGTTTGTGACTTCCTATTACAAAGACAATGAAAATAATAATTTATGATTCTGATGTACCCTTGACCAATGTTCTATATAAAAGCAAATCCACTTTTCTCATCTTCACTGGCCTAAACCGTGTAGCGTCACACTCAAAAAGCTTTACCATAATTATGTCAAATGCTTTAAAAAAAATCAAAATCAACTTTTAGATTATAGAGATTTCAATGATCTACTTAATAATTGCCAAGCATTAAACAACATTTTCAGGCCTTTTCCATCAGTGCAGACGACTGACAACATTGTTACGGACCTTCTCTCACCTGGTTTTTGTTTTCTGCTTGCTAATGTAAACAAAGTAAACGCCAAAGGATACTACCGTCAAAGAAAACAGGCTGATTCACTAAATCATATTTTACTGCAGATTTGCATAATTCAAGGAACTCCTCTTTGTCTTTGAAACAGGTTTTTGTCTCCTGTAGGCATCAAATTTCTTCTATTTGCGTGGGAACCAGGGAAACGTTGACAAGATTGAATACTTTTAAGGTGACTCTGTAGCAGACTATTTACATTATATGACAGTTATAACAGATAAGACAGCTTTACATAAGGCTGTCAGAGCAGAACGCCAATCAGACCGAGCTAATAATTAAGGTAAAGTCCAGTTTCAGAAAGTACCAAAAATAAAAATGGGCACATGGGAATATATTAAATCACGTGGGTTGATTAAAAAAAAAAACTCATGTTACTTTTTATACACATGCTTAAACATTTAGGTCTGATAATAATGTCCCCTTTTGGTCAAACTAAAACTATCAATTCACTAAGCAAAGGAAGGTTTCTCACCCATCTGTACTACTTAGCAGGTTTTCCCGTTTTTCTGCTAGCAGTTTTTTCTGCTTAGAAGTACAGATGATGGGTGAGAAACCTTCCTTTGCTTTGACTAATCCCTGTACGATTAAGAATTTACACAAATGTATCAATTCACTAAAGAAGTTTCTATGGCACCATTGTATTCTAAGGGCATATCCAAGCAGGTGGCTCCTCTTTAACGGACTTACATCTACACTTTAGGTGGATCCTGGGGTGAATCATTAAACAGAGCGAAAGCAAAACCCACTATAGAGACGTCATCATTCCACAACCGTCAGTCAACAACAACAAAAATCAGCCAATCAGGGAGCAGGGTTCTTTTTTAACAGCTGTGTGAGTTAAGGTCTGCCTAGCAACCGAGGTAACAAAACACAACTTAAAAAGACTCATTCAAAGAGACCTATTAGGACATGGATTCATTAAAACAATCAAAGAACATGGTTAAATCAATGTAAAAAATGTATTTGTATTGTTTACGTTGCTAAGAGCGTGATGCAATGTTAAGAAACTTGTTCAAAACTAACTGGATTTTAGTATAATTAATACAAAAAAATAGTCGTAAAGACACTCACCATGGCTTGTTCAATCTTGTTGTCTATGGCCACAACGCTGGCTCCGGATGAACTGTAAAAAAAGAAGGAAATTACATTATAGTCATTTATGCTGAGCTACTGCGGTGATCACAGAGGCAAGACAAGAGATTTTCCTTTCTCTTTCTCTCAAGAAAAAAAAAACGCATCCGCTGTAAAAGCCGTAAAACACACTGGATTTCATAAATGTATGGACATGTCTGGAAAGCTGCGAGTTTCTTTTGTGTGTTTTAAGGCAGACACGGAGAGATTATCTGGAGCGGGGTCTCTGCAATGCCATCGAGACGCCAATATGTTCCACCCTCCACAACCACATTATGCTGCTTTTACCTGTTGTCAAGCGTGAGATGCGTGCTTTCCGTGCTCAACAACGCCGACAGAAACGAAATTGAGTTGAAATGTCTTAGCTGGCAAACGCCTAGATCCATGGCCACGGAGAAGCAGGACGCGTTCATGCTGCTCATCTTTGTGTCCAAGTCGCCGTGCGTAAAAACAACACAGATGGCCTGTTTGAGAGCCGACACGCACATCCACACGATTAGGATGTGGTAAAATAAATAAATGAAATGAAAATCAATGTAAAATCCACCAACACAAGGCGAATGCACCGAGACCAGCGGTACAACACAGCCTACACCAAGGTCAGCTCATCGCGGCTGCAAACTCTGCGGCTTAGGGAGCAGGCTGCGTAAATATATCCAACCATCCAGCCCTCCCATTGGATAAACTCGGAGCTAGTTGGTATAATCTATGCAGGAACGCCCCTACCTGCTCCTCAGCTGACGCAAATTTGCATAAAATATATTAGGCGAGCTGAGAAGAGGTGGATTCAACCGGGGAGAACTGGATAGGAGCGAGTTGTGGCGATAGAAAACATGAGAGAGGAGATTTACGCAGACACAACACACGCACATTTGCTTTTATGTTGCTTTTGGTGATGTCTCTCGTTATTGGGATGCATGTGATAAACCAAATGCAAGCTATTATTATTATTATTATTATTATTATTATATCTTGACCACGCAGGGCAAGTCTCCAGCGTGAGTTCGATAACGAAACTAAAAAAACGTGTGGGTGACGCGTGTATGTCCACATGTGCAGGACCAGTAGTCTAAACTGCGCGGAAAGGCAGTTTAGTGAAGAGATAAGTCAAGATGCTTTGTCCAAGGCACACACACAGAGCGGTACAGTAATGTGGTGAGGTAAGGGCGCTCCCGTGTGGTCGAAATGTGAACGACAGCGCGAGACAAAAGATGCCACAAAGAAATTGCTATTCTAAAAAGGGTATTAAGAAATGTAGTAAGATAGTAAAACATCTATACTATGGTCAATATAATAAGTGGATAAAGTAGATGCTTTAAAGGTCTAAAGATAACTGACATTGAAGTCTGTAAATTGTACAGTAGAAAGTAGGCTAGCAGAAATGTTGATTATTAGTCAAAACAAAAGGCACATTCAAGTGAAAATGGAATGTTGAGGATGTTATTTTTTCCAATGGAAGTAAATTTGTAACTAAACTAAAAAGAACATGAGGTTGACTTTAACATAATTACAGCCATTTTAACCCTTTGTCAAGTCAGAGAGTGGACAATGCGGAGGGAGGGACTTGTCCCGACATGACATTTGAACTGAAGCTTAACCTGCTTTATGCAATAAGCTCTTCAAGACGTGAACCACAATAAGGTCCCTAATAATATCCTCTTTACAATCACTACAACCGACCAAGGTTTTTTAAAGAAAGTTTATATAAAATTGTCAGTTATTGAAAGACAATGTGCTATTTGACCATTACTGGCTGGGTTTAGTTTGGTCCGAGTCCAGTCCAGTCCATTTTAGTCCGTTTGAGTGAACGTGTAGAAGACCTCATTACATATACAGCAGCCATGATTAAGGTAGGCAATCATGACGCAGAAATGTTTGTATAAAAACATCTTTCAACAGTGGGAGTTAAATCCAGTACACACAACATAAGGCAAGTAACAGCAAAAGTATTAACAAAGATGTGGCAATTTTATTATTTTAATATTATAATTGACAGCCTTTTTGGGACTATAAAAATTAAGACAGCCTTTAGTCATAATCAAGCCAAGTCGTAGAGGCGATGGTGACTTGTGTTAAATTTTTTCAGCAATGGCAACGTAATGTACCTTCATAGACAAATTATCATCATAATATCTGCATATCTGTAGTACAACACTATAAAAACGTCAAACTAGGTCCAACAACGACCAAAACTGCCTTAATCAGCTCGACAGAGGGGAGTATCATGGAAACGCGTCACGCTCAGCACCTCCTCCCTCAAAACTATGCTCAAAACACACAAAACACAAGAACTACTCTCTCCTCACAGACCCACAGCCGCAGATTATGACTCAACGGACTCCCACTCACCTCCTGTCCGACTGCAGCAAAAGAAGAACTCCGATACAAACAACACAATACAGTAAAAACACAGATAAAGTTTGTTCTACAACTTTCTGCACATTTCAGAAGTGCAAAAAACAAAACAAAATTATTTATTTATACTACAGTTACACAGGGAATGATTTCAGATTTACACTGTTTCCACAATTCTGGCTGAGCTTGTGTTATGGTCCTACTTGTATTTGTGTGTGGTCTGTGTAGTGAGTGTACAGAAACTAAAATAATCTTTAAGAATGAATAGATTACATTTTAGCCAATGTCGTCAAAGTGCAGCTTATTTAGCCTAATTATAAACATTTGGACGTCATGTGATATATATATTTACCAAATCCCCATGTTACTTTACCACAGCATCAAGTCAGAAAAATGGAAATACAAAAGCCCATACGGAAAATGCATTAAATAAGTCAATGTTTTGAACTACAATACCACACTAGAGAAAAACACTTCAGGGAGTTACCTGGAAACATGAATCACACACAACAATACTGTCTGACAATGGACAAAAGATCATTGCGTCATATTTGTGGCATCAGTCTCCTGTTTTATGCAACATTTGATTTTTGTTCCAACACATGTTTTAGATGTGGTGTGTGAAATGGTTATTGTAGTGCATGAAAAAGACTCTTTAAAAGTTTGCTTGATGCTGAACTATTAACTCATGATTTGGGGAAGATTCAGTCTACACCAAGACTCTAAAGATGAATTGCAAACAAACTTTTCGATAATGTAAAAATTATGTTTGATAATTGTTTACGGCTCCATATAGATTCATTATGATCTGTAAGACATTCATTTTAATGCTGTACAAGTGAATTTAATGATCAAAATAATCCATTAAATTATCCTTTATATTTACCTCGTTAAATTCTCATGTCTTTTTCCTTAACAAATTGAAAAATGGAAAGAATAATAGCTGGATGAATCGATTATCAAAATAGTCGTTAGTTACAGCCCAAGTCTACAGGAGAGAAAGTATCGATGGTTGTGATTTAACTCATTTACCCGTTTCTACTCCTGAAGAAAAGTTAAAAAAGGTGCGCTTTATTGATCCCCGTAGGGCAATTAATTCTCTGCATATGACCCATCCTGATGCCACTAAGGCTTACGTGAGGAGCAGTGGTCGCCGTAGTAACAGCGCCCGGGAACCCATCTCCAGAAGTTGATGCTCGGCTTGGTCAGGACCAGAGCTGGAGGATTTAACCTAGTGTGCATGTTTTATTGGTAGGGGAAACTGGAGTACCCGGAGGAAACCTACGCAAGCACGGGGAGAACAAACTCCACTCAGAAAGACCCCATTCCGACCGGTATTCAACCCTAGGAACTTCTTGCTGAGAGGCGAGAGATCCACTCAGCCACCGTGCCATTTTAATTTGTGATAAGGGGCTCGACAGTCCACACGTCTAACCCACTAACTTGTTGCCAATGTTTTTTTTCTACACAGATAACTCACAAAACGTGCACTTTTACATCTGGGATAAATCCACTCCCCCGCGTTAACAAAGGAAATCCAGCGGAATGTAATGGCTTTTAATAATACGCCGGTTTAAATTACAAACTACACATTCTTCTTTTGAAGCTTGAACGCTGCTCTTCACCACAAGTGGAAAAAGGGGCTGAAGTCATCATGTAAAATATAGACCAGGGCTTTGCCAAAATAATCTACAGCTCCAGGAGTGTTTCCATTGGCTTTGGCGGCGCTCAAAGGCGAAACTGGAAGTGTTTAAGAAGCTGGCTCTGTTTGGTGGGTTTTGAAAGTCGCCTATGAACAAACAGCCAAAATATACTTTACAACGGCTCAGTATTTCAGGAACATTTTACTTTTTCTACCGTCTCTAAGAACAATGTCCCACTCACCTGAATGATCTTGCACTTGTATTGAAACTGTTTTACAATTGGTTTCGGCACTGTACATGTTTTGTGCACACTGGCGACTTTTGCAAATGTATTCCAATGTGGTTTTACTGCAAATGGCAAATAAATGAATCTGAATCTAGACATACGTTGTGCCTCAAAGTCCATTATGAGGAGCATCCAAGCAGAACGAGGCTATTACAATTTGCAAGTTGGGTTGGTGGAATGTCTATACTATAAGCTGTATTTTGTTACAAATAAAACAAAAATATTAAAAAAGATTATAGTAATATTAGTCGCACAATCAGGGAAAATATGGATGCTTACCCTCAGCCAAAATATATACATGGATCATTGTTAAATTGACTTCATATTAACATTTATAAACACATTGTACATGACTGAGAATGTTCATCTCCCTTCAGCTCAGATTATTTTGACAAGTGCGTAGTCCTTTTTGACCCTCTCTAAGACACTAAGCTGCTTGTGATCTCTTCCGTTCTCTTTGACTGCAAGAGGATTTAACCAATTACCCAAATAACCAGCATCAACAACAGAGGAGCTTCAGGACTAAAACGGTCCTTTGACGTGAGACGCATTTAGAAACACAAAGCGTGCACTGGCGACTTCAAACGGGAGCAGGGCAAAAAGTGGAACGACTTCTGAGAAATGGATCTATTGAAGGACAGGTCAGGGACTACCTCTCAAGATAGAAACTCAGAGGAACGCTGATGTAAAAAGTGAGGATTGCTAATTTTGGCTTTATTCAGATTTATATAAATATATATATATATATATATATACACAGCAGGTGCCCACGAAGTTCCACAAAGTTATGCAACAATCAGGAAGCAATTTATGTTGAATAAGAAAACAAGTTCTATGAAGACATTACACTATAGTCTGCATGCAAATCATACATGCAACATTTTTCTAATTATTCCGATAAAAACATACTATACGTTATATTAGCCATTGTATCGTTTAGCTAGTGTACAGCAAAGGAACCCCAAGTCCTATTTGGGATTGCCATTAGGGTCCCACATTCTAAATATAGTTTTGAATATTGTAAGTAAACAAAATACATGATTATTTGTCAATTATGTAGCAAAAAATGTTCTGTCCCAATAGTCTTGTAAAAGTACCTTTCTTTGGAGTTCCATTATTTGAGGTTTGAAAGTACCCCAACTGTAACAGCATTTTAGTAAAAAGAGGAGATGAACCTATCTTTTGGAAGTCGTGAAAAATGTAG